TTTTTTGTCCCATTGTCCTGGTACCTAATTTATTTATTTTATACTTGATGCCAAATCTTCTGTGTTTCATTTAATGTCCTGCATTTGTCCCCTATTCGGTGTTTCGACGCATTAACTGCTCATTAAAATGGCATGCCTATGAGCGAGTTTTAAGTGATGTTGGTTTAAGATCGTAATTTTCTCCATAAGCAGTTATTATTTTCTAATCTGAATGCCTGTGATTCGAATCGAGGAATACATACAGTGACATAAATATAAATTAGGACTCGAGATTTTAGTAAGTTTGGGCTATTTTTTCATAGTTTTTTAATGTTTTTTTTTTATTTATTCTATGAAAGTAAAGCTCTTTTCCTAACCAAAACCATATTATACCATATTTCCAACTTTATGCGAAAAACTATAAAAATTAATTCTGCAATGTTTGACCTAAATTTCAAACATTTTAACCAGAATCTTTAGAAATTTTTTTTCCAGTTTTGTAACTTATTAAAGCTTAGCTCTCTTTCAAAAAAATGGTCGAACATACTTACTTTGTATGAAAAACATGCGTTACACCGCCAACAAAAAAAAAAAAACAAATTGCGAGAAATTAATGGTAAGTCTTAGCGACTTAAAATTGCACTTAATATTTAACGAATTTTTATAACAAATTTAACCGGGTAAAATGATACTGTTGCAGGGCTAATATATGTACATCTATGATCATTGAAGAAGGTTTTAAAATCTGTAAGCTGTGGTGCAAAAAATTTGCAAAATTATTTTTTGTCCTGTATTCAGCTCTCATAAATATGGTCACCGTATATAAAACTGGCTGTCCCGGTGAATTTCGTCCCGCCTAAAAAATTTAATTTTTTTGTAAATATTTTGGTCCAATATTTTCACCAACAATTCACGTTTACGAATTCCATTGGCACATTCATCTGCTAAGATTGTGGTTCGTTGGTCGTTGCCGCCTTAAATATTATATGGAACGCCCCCTCTTCCAATAGCTCAAACTTTTTCTCCAAGAGTATGCGATTGATTTCATATACAATATATATATTTTATTAAATCTGTTAAGCTTATGATTACCACTAAATATAATATAGCAACTATTTTCTATCACATGCATTATTGACCTCACTTCGCAACAATTTCAGCTAATTTGAAATGCTCGCATCGTATTTTCATTCAACAAATGTCGATCAAGTGTGACATTTCTGAGACGGCGCTATTAACATGACTTACATGTGTACATAATTTAATTGTCTAGAAATATCACTAAAGAATTTTAATAAATGCACAAGGCATGCCACATAGATCGTTGCAGCTGCAACGCGAAGCGAAAAGATAGTCAACTTCCATCTTCTTGCGCGCGTTCACATTTAGCCAGTATAATATTTATTTTTTTCGTCCAAATTCGAGTTTTCATGCAGAAATATAAAATTGAATGACATTGCTGATATTTTTAAAGCTAAATATATGAAGTCCACGGCAATTTTGACGAGTAAAAAAGCGGCACAAATTTTTTTCCGTGGCGTTCATTATGGCATACCCAAGGCACATTAAACAGGTAGTATCAGTAGAGCAAAAACAACATTTGCGTGTATTTTGTTGTTGCTTCTGGTATCGAAAGTGTCAAAAACTGTTCTGAATTTTTTCTTCTAAATCAAAGCGTGCCATGTGAAATACAAAAAATTATAAAAAATAAAAAATTGAAATTGGAAAAAATAAAAATTGATGCAAGTAAATTTGTTTGCTTCTCGAGGCATTGATCCATCCTTTGCAAGGCCCAGTAATCAGCGGTCGTGCTGCCGAGTTGGGCGAACGTTCCAAAAGCTGCTATTCAATCGCTTGTTTTGTATGGAAAAAGGTTTCACAAGCAAATGGATTTTAACAACTTATAATTTTCGTGAGAAAAAATTAAAAATATTTGACATTTTCGAGACCAAATAATTTGAAAATAAATCAAATCAGCTGCTCTACTGATACTACCTGTTCAATGTACCTTGGGCATACCTTTTGAGTATGGCGTTTTGCAGTCAAAGTTATAAATGTGACGTAAAGTCACAAAGTTTTATCTGACATCAGCTTGAATGTCTTAATTTGACGAAAAATACAGAAACTACATAAATACTTATGGTGAATATTCAGGAAAAACTGAAATTTCGTTGAGAACTTTTTTATATCTGAACTGATTAGTAGGGAGGACCATGGTACAATAATTACAGGTATTGTCTTCCCAGAGAGTTTTGCTTCACCAAACCGTTCGCTTCGCCAAAATCATTCGCTTCGCAAGTGATAATACCACCCTATGAGTTTGCAGGTGTGTTGCGAACTGAGCAGCGAACTCCCCTGCCCTGGATTGCGGTTGTAAACGACCGTCTAGTGGAACTGGAAAAGTGGGCTGTCGGGTGATCGCCTATGAAGATGATGTGGAACTTCTGGTTAAGGGACGATTTATCTACACTGTTTGTGATCTGGCTCAAGGTTACCTGAACTAGGTGGGCGATAAAAAACCTAACATTGAGGAAAGGGTAGGAAAGGTGTCGGTTGCCTTGCACTGCTAAAGGGGTGCTATCAGTAAAAGGTGGGGTCTCTCGCCCAAATTAATTCATTATCTCTAGGAAACCAGATTTAAGTCTGTATTGTTTCAAGGAGCCCTTGTCTGGTGGAACTCACTAGAAAAGGCTACACTTTTAAAACAGGAATTAGCGCAGCATTAGGAACAACACCTACACTGGCGCTTAACATACGTGTGTTGAACACGGCGCCGGCGGAAATTGCAGACAGAATTGTCGCAGCGCGAACTGCTATTAGGCTAAGGGAAACCGGGTCCTTTTGTGACATAAAAAAGGAAAAGAAGACATTTCTCTGCACACGTTACCTCTCAAGGGCTAGGAATGGGGTTCTGATATGCCATTGTGCGATTGGTATTCATGCGGTGAGACTAGGAATTTCGGCTATTTCTTTTGTATCAGCTGTCAAGAGGAATATGAAGTGGAATCATCTCCATACTTTCTTTTAGACTGTCCAACCTTCGCGAGGCTCTGAGCTCTCAGGGATCGAAATCAGCCGCATTTGAAATTTTCGTAATCGGCTCGCGGCGTTAACTTAACTTAACCTAACCTGTACTTATTTATGGTAAGAAATAGGTGGTCACATTAGGCATATATCAAGCATAGTTTTAATATTTTGGAGTCATTTTAATCATCACAAAATTAAGTTTTTT